TAACCAAAGGTGTCAACCAGAGGTGTCGACCTTGCATTACAATAAAAATGATCTACATCTGTTACTCGTAAATAATAGTTCTAATATATAATGTTATACAAATATAGAAATCTGACTAATAAACTAATATAATAATGCTAATAAAAATATATATATAAAAATTAAAAAATAAGGTTAACAGTACAGATATATTTATTGAATGGTTTAATTATCTTGATAATTATTTCTGAACAATGAATAGCACTGGTCGAAAATTGATAAAACATACACATATCAGGTATCTGATATGTGTATGTTTTATCAATTTTCAACTAGTGCAGAAAAATAATACTTCTTATTGATAATGCAGGTTCACATTTTAATGCAAAAAGATTAGAAAAAGATAATTCTGATATTTCTGAAGATGAATTTGACAATGAACAGGGATCAAGTAATAAATCAAAAAATATACCTAAGCTTTCCAATATTAAACTCATTTATCTTCCGCCTAACACAACAGCTCATTTACAGCCTATGGATGCAGGAATTATCCATAGTTTTAAAGCAAAATACAAACAAGAATTTTGTAGACATTTAATTCAACAATTTGATTCTGAAATAGATCATATAAAGTAAGTTTATTTTTATTAACAATTTTAATTTTATTATTGATAATATTTTTTGTATTATTAAATTTTATTAACCTTATTTGATTAATTATGATTTTCATTTTTTAATTTTAATTGTAGAAATAAATTAAATATTAAAGATGCTATTGATTATATAGCTGAAGGATGGAATAATGTTACTTAAAAAACAATTCATAACTGTTGGATCAAAACTGGTATACTTCCATCTTCGGATAAAATTGAAACAGAATCAAATGATGATGATAATGATGATGAAGAAATTATAGATCTTCTTGAGAACTTACCTGAAAAGAATAATATACAAGAATATTTTCAATTAATTGATTATAATGTTCCTACTGAAGAAAATCTTCTGAAGAACAAATTATCAATTTATACAATCTGAAGAAAATGAAGAAAGTGATAGTGATGAAGAAGAAGAAATATTACTAGTATTAGTTAAAGATGCAGTTAGTGAGTTGGAAACTTTTATTAAATATTTTGAACAACAAGATAATAACTCTGAATTTAATGTTGATGATTTGTGAATTTTTAGAAAATATTTACGAATGTCTAAAGTTATTGAATTCAATTCAAAAAAACAACAGTTTCTTGATAATTTTCTTTAATATTTGATAAATATATAATTTTTTATTACTTTTATAATTTAGTTTAATAATATAATGTTTTACATTTATAATATAATATAATTTAGCTTAATAATAGTTTTTGATACATTTATAATATAATATAATTTAGCTTAATAATATAATGTTTTTAATACATTTACAATAAAATATAATAAAAAAAATTTTTGCACTATTAATATTTTATAATCACACTTTTATAAAATTATATATATATGTGATTATATAAAAAAACCCCACTATAAGAACACCTCTCTATAATCACACCATTAGATGGTCCCAAAGGGTGTGATTTTAGGGGGGTCGACTGTACTCATTTATCCATTTTTATCTCCTCAATTATTTATTTTTTTTATTCTTTTTTTTATTCCTTTTTTTTTTATATTTTTATTCTTTTTTTTAATTCTTTTTTATTCCCATTCTGTTCATCATCATTTTATTTTTTTCATCTATTCATTATTATTACAATATCAATATCATCTCGATCACTTTATTTTTTTTCATCCATTTATTGCTCATTCATCCATTTCCATTCTTCATCATCACCTCGATCTTTTTTTTTATTTTATTCCATTCATTATCATCATTATTTTGATCATATTATTTTTTTCGTCCATTCATTCATATCATTTTACTTTTTTTATTTTTTTATTTATTTACACAATTATTTATTCATTCATCCATCCATCCTGTTTGTCTGTTTATCCATCCATCCATCTGTTCATTCACTTACTTGTTTGTTCATTCATTCGTTCATTCATTCATTCATTCATTCATTTATTCAATCATAAATTCAGTTTCTTGTTTGTTTGTTCCATATGTAATACCAATTCTTATCATAATCATAATCTATTATCTTTATCATTTATTATCCCTTTTTTTAAATGGATTTCTGATTTCTGTCTTATATAATTACTGATATTTTGTCCTCTTCTAGAAATAAATGACAGGCTGTTACTGAAACTCAATGAATTGTTATATATAAAAAGAAACATGAAAATTCAGGAATGACACAAATGGATAGAGCAAAAATTTGGTTTTAAAGTAAATCAATCAACAATATTATGAATATTAAAGTGACCAGCTGAGTTTCTTGAAGAAATAGATGTAAAGAAAATAAATATACCATAATATATTGTGTGTACATATGTTATTAGAAGATAATCCAGATGTTAATAATGATCTAATAGAAATTCCAGAGGATATAAATGATCTTACAAATCAAATAAATAAACTTAGATAT